TATTAAGACATTTCCATATATTTTTTGGTGAAATATCTATTCAAATACTTGCCCATTTTTAAAATTGAGTTTTAACAATTCTTTTTTTTTTTTTTTTGATATGGAGTCTCACTCTGTCACCCAGGCTGGAGTGCAGTGGCATGATCTCAGCTCACTACAACCTCCACCTCCCAGCTTCAAGTGATTCTCCTGCCTCAGCCTCCTGAGAGCTGGGATTACAGGCGCATGCCACCACACCTGGCTGATTTTTGTATTTTTAGAAGAGATGGAGTTTCACCATCTTGGCCAGGCTGGTCTTGAACTCCTGACCTTGTGATCCACCCTCCTCGGCCTCCCAAAGTGCTGGGATTACAGGCATGAGCCACCGTGCCTGGTGGAGTTTTAACGTTTCTTTGCAGCTTCTGGATATAGGGTTTTTTTTTTTTCTTTTTGACAGGGTCTTGCTCTGTTGTCCAAGCTGGGGTGCATTGGTATAATAATAGTACACTGCCGCCTGGAGTTCCTGGGCTCAAGGGATCCTCCTGCCTCAGTCTCCTGAGTAGCTGGGACTACAGGTGTGTGTTACCACACCCAGCTAATTTTTAAAAACTTCTTGTAGAGACAGAGTCTCATCGTATTGTCCAGGCTAGTCTCAAACTCCTGAGCTCAAATGATCCTCCTGCCTCAGCCTCCCAAAGTTCTGGGATTATAGGCATGAGTCACCACGCCTGGCTGGATATAAGTCCTTTATCAGACAAGTGATTTGCAAGTATTTTCTCCCTGCCTATGACTTGTCTTTTCATTTTCTTATGGTGTTTTTGAAGCCTAAAAATGTTTAATTTTGATGAAATACAATAAGTGTATCAATTTTTTTTTATGAATCATGATTTTAGTATTGTACTAAGAACTCATATCACTCAGGGTTCAATAAGAGAACTAGTATGACATTATATATAATCCTTACATATACGTAGATTCCATTGCAATTGGGAAACATACTTTGTATGATTTATTTTTATTTATTTATTTATTTACTTTTGAGACAGTCTCACTCTGTCACCCAGGCTGGATGCAGTGGCGTGATCTCGGCTCACTGCAACGTCTGTCTCTTTGGTTCAAGCGATTCTCCTGCCTCAGCCGACGATGCCACTAGGCATGGGTTTTTCCAGGCTTTGCTCAAGTCAAATCATCCCCGTAGGCAGTAGAGTTGTCAGTCCTCACAGCCTGCCTCACTCTGGTAGAAGTTGCAGGCCATGAATCTGGCGGTTGAGGATGGACACAACTCCAAGTTTGCAAACTTTCACCGTTTGTTACTGAGGTTCAGTAGTTTTTTGTGAATAAATGCTTCTCAATGTGTTGTATACCTTTGGTCAATTTCAAAGTCTTAAAATTGTTGTTTTGGCAGTTTTGCCCAGTTTTATCTTTGCTTTTTGGGAAAAAAAAGGATTTCAAATCTTTTCAAATGTGTGTCTCACTGTTGCCCAGGCTGAAGTGCAGTGGTGTGATCTCGGCTCACCACAACCTCTGCTTCTCAGGTTCAAGCGATTCTCCTGCCTCAGCCTCCCAAGTAGCTGGGACTACAGGCACCTGCCACCATGCCTGGCTAATTTTTGTATTTTTAGTAGAGAT